CCCCAGGGAGGATTGGTCTTTCGCTCTCGGCACCCCAAAGTTTCTTCCTGCTCCTCCTTGGTGGCAGTTACAGTAGCTCGTGTCAACGTGAGGGAGTTAAGAGCAAATGGGTGGAGTCTAGCCTGTCAATCAGGTCACGGCCTGATGATGCCTCCTTGTGGGCGTGGCCTTTCCCATGAGGATTCTGGGAACTTCCCTTCTCTCTGCCTTTGTCTCCCTGTTGACAACCATGTGGAGACGTGCTGCGACCTGCTGCGTGAGTCTGAAGAGGAATTTATGGACTGGCATCGGCATATGGGCCAATATCAGACTTAAGGGCCTGATCTGGACTGGCCTGGGATGTTTTGTCAATGTGCAATTGCTCTTTGATATAAAGTTCTCTCTTACACACGTAGGAATGTCTCTGAATTTGTTTCTCTAGTCGACCCGGTCTAACGCATCCTTGTCAAAGGCCTTTCCATCCTGGAGGAGAACGAAGGCTGCTCTTAGCCGCCTTCCCTTGATGCCCCACAGCGAAGCCTGGGTTCCCCCAACTCGCCACCCCTGTCCTGCTCCCGATTCTTCACTGAAGCTCAAGGCCACACCTTTCCATCTGCCCATCTAACCGAGGTGGAAATGCCCCAGCCCTGCCATGACCACATCTCAGCAGGGACTTTGTCTTCTTCATGGGCCCAAGGCCTCCTCTGTGCCCATTTCTACAGCCTAGGCCTCAGGGACAGCTACTGACCAAGAACTGCACACTCGGGGGCCCAGTTCCCGTGGGTTAACCGACAGGTTCGAACTGCCGACCTTTCATTTATCGGCTAGTACTTCACCACTGCGCCACTTGGGCTCCCCGGGGGCGCAGGTCGATAAGGCAAATCAGTGAAGTAGGCTGGGTAATCTCCAAACAGAACACTTGCGTTTGCATATCAGGCATATACATTTGCATATTAAACATGCAAGAATAGTCTTCATTTTCCACCCCCACAAAAACACGATCGTTCTCACATTTCCCGAGAGACGGTCTCTTTTTCCCCCCTCCATGATACTATGGACACAATACACCTTTCACTTTTGCCCTGACGGCTGTAAGAACATCCGCAGCACGGGGAAGAATACTGAAAATACCATGGACTGACTGCCAGAAAGACAAACAAATCTGTCCTGGAAGAAGTATGGCCAGAAAGATCCTGAGAGGCGCGGATGGTGAGACTTGGAGTCCTGTACTGTGGACATGCTGCCAGGAGAGACCAGTCCCTGGAGAAGGGCATCATGCTTGGTAAAGGAGAGGGGCAGCGAAACAGAGGAAGGCCCTCCAGCAGATGGATCGCCACCGTGGGTTCGGACCTAAGAACAAGAGTGAGAATGGGGCAGGACCGGGCACCTGTTTTCGTTCGGCTGTACACAGGGTCTCTCTGAGTCGGAACTGACGCAGCAGCACCTGACAACAACAACTACAACAGTGCTATTAGGTAGGACACCGGAGGCTGGCCTCAAGGACAGGGAGAAGGGAGGGAGGGGGCGGGGTTGTGGCAGACTGCAGAGCCGGACCCTGTCCTACAGGGGGCAGCTGTTAGTCCATGCTGACGGGTGCCCACAAGAACATGGGCTCAGAGTAGGCAGACAGTTTCATTTCCAAGAGATGCTGTCAACAGGATATTTGTGGAAAACATTGAAAAACTGGCAATAAATCCCAAACATAAAATGCCTCTGCAGGCAACACACTGCCGATCTAACTGACCATGTCTCTAGCCTGGACCAGGCCCGTAGCTGCCTTTGTCTGTCCTTTGCCTTGGGAGGGCTCGCATTACGGAAACCTCTTCATTTTTAATCCATCAAGGAAAAAAATAGGAAGGCATCTGGGGCTATGCTGGTGCATTTGCTCATGAACGGATGATTCTCCCCGAGTGATTTTGCAGGATGGTTTTTGAAGACAGGGATGAGTTTATAGTACAACCACCAAAACTTCAGACGCCAACACACCAAAGGGTCATGAAGCTAGCACAGCAAAGGGCAATGCGCCAATGCCAGCGCGGCCCACCAACACCACTGCCCCCGGAACTCTCAGAGGGCGGCCTGGATGTCCTAGGACAGCTGATCTGCGTGTCCTTTGGGCCGTCGATGGCATGTCAAGAGCCTTCGTCAGCACCATCATTCGGATGCATCAATTTGCCTGCCCAACCATTGATACAGAGCATGCTTCATTAGGGCTGCTTGGGCCTGGTCCTCTCTCTGCCCAGGCAGGGGAGAAACAGGCTGTGCCGGCCCCCGCCCAACCCCGCCACTCTCGGGAAATGACACTGACTCAGCTGTCAAAACACATCTCGGCAGGCTGGCACAGACAAGAGTCTGAGAGCACACCGAGTTGGCGAGGCTTCGGGGAAACAGCCAGTCCCCTCTCCTCGGCTGGCGCAGCTGGGACACCCTCCCCGGTGAGCGAGTCGGCGGCCCCTGCCAGCATTACAAAGGTGCACATGGCCTCTGGACCAGTGACTCCAACTCGAGGGAATTATTCTCTAGTTAGATACACCTGTCCGGGTGCCAACAATGTCATTCACCCGGGCACAGTCATTGTGAGACGTTGGCAATGCTTCAGGGGTCCCGTATGGAAATACAATGATGGCAGCATGCACACTGGGAGGTCATGCAATTTTGCAACAAAGCCCAAGCACTCCCTCGACTTGCTACTTAGGACTTGCCCACCACGAGAAGGGGAGCATGGCAAGCCCCTATGCGTCATGCGCGCTGTTGGGTGAAGAACCACGTGTTCGGCTTGGCCCACCCTATTCCTATCACTTGCCTCTCGGGCACGAGACTGCTTGGATCCACAGGCAATGCGCCCAGCAGCAGCAGACCCAGAATCAGGTGGCGTGTTGCATTGGGCCCGTCTGCTGCAAAAGACTACTTTAAGGTGCCCAAGAGCATGGATGGCCCTTTGAGGACACAGGTACACCTGATCCACGCTGCACCTGCATGCGCACATTGGACACTGAATAAGGAAGACCCGAAAAGAGTTGATGCATTTGAATTCGGGGGGCTGGCAAGGACCAATGCCAAGTACCACGGACCGGCAGAGACACCAACAGATCTATCTGGGAAGAAGTACGGCGGCCCGAAGGCTTCTTAGAAGAGTGGATGGTGAGACTTCGTTTCATGTACTTTGGACATGTGGTCAGAGAGACCAGTCCTGGGAAGAGGACACCTTGCTTGGTGAAGGAGGAGGGAGGCCAGTAAAACAGAAGAAGGCCCTTCATGAGGTGGACTGGCGCCGTGCCTACCACAAGGGGATCAAACGTAAAAACCATTGTGTGGATGGCCCAGGATTGGGTGGGTGTACATAGGGCAGTGATTCTTAGCCTTCCTCATGCCGTGACCCTTTCATACAGGTCCTCATGTGATGGGGACTCCCCACCATAAAATTATTTTTGTTGCTACTTCATCACTGTCATTTTGCTACTGTTATGAATCGTCATGTAAATAGCTGATAGGCGGGATGTATTTTCATTGTTACAAATTGAACATCATGAAAGCATCGTGATTTGCCACAAAAACAATGTCATTCTTGTGATGTAACAATGATGAGAAATACAACTTTCCTCTAGTTCCTAAATGTTTCCTCCCCGCTCCCACTACCATGACTCGAATTCGACCTTGCAAGTCTGGCTAGACCAGAGGAGGCACACTGGTACAAATAGGAACTGAAAATACAGGGAATCCAGGGCAGATGATCCCTTCAGGACCAGTGGTGTGAGTGGCGAAACAGGGAGGGTAAAGGGAGAATGGGTAGGAAAGAGGGAACCGATTACAAGGAACTATATGTGACCTCCTCCCTGGGGGACAGACAACCGAAAAGTGGGTGAAGGGAGACGTCGGACAGGGCAAGATATGACAAAATACCAATTTATAAACTATCAAGGGCTCATGAGGGACGGGGGAGCGGGGAGGGAGGAGAAAAATGAGGACCTAATGTCAGGGGTTTAAGTGGAGAGAAAATGTTTTGAGAATGATGTACAAATGCGCTTTACACAATTGATGTGTGTATGGATTGCGATAACAGTTGTATGAGCCCCTAATAAAACGTTTAAAAAAAACAAAAAAACAATGTCATTCTATATTGTGAAATACTGATTTCTAATGGCAAATATATGAAATGTTGTCTTGAAGCACGGTGTAGCATGGCTAACAGTCTTCACGCTGGGTGCTCATAGGTGGGCGTATCTACACATGAGCAGACCCACCTGGAGACGGATAGAGGAGCGGTGTCTCGGTTCCTAAGACCATCAGAAATATGTGAAAGGGTGGCTCAACCCCTAAAGGGCTCGGGACCCACAGGTTGAGAACCGCTGACATAGGGTCACTACGGGTTTCAAGCTTGAGAACAATGGTGAGGCTGGCACAGGACTGGGTGTTCAAAGGGTCCCTTCAGGTTGGAAATGACTGGACAGCCCCTCACCATAGCCAGCGAGGGGGGGACACTGGGTGGCCGGGGCCAGGGGAGCAAGCGAGCTTTTCACCTGGCACCTCTGCTATCTTTTACATGGTGAGCCACGTGGCTGCATTTCCCGTAGTCCCTGGGTAGAGGGGAGGGTTCAGCCCTCAATCACAAAGCGAAGAGCTAGCCGGTTCAAACCTGCCCTAAAAATGACTCAGAAGAAAGGCCTGGCGGGTTGTGTTTGCAGAAGGTGAAACTCCCCTGGGGCACGCTCGGTTCGACTTAGGAAGAAACAGGGTCACCATGACCCGGCTCTGGGGCAGCTGGGTCAGTTTGGTTCGGTTCGAATGCATTGCCCAGTAGACGCAGAATGGAGAGCCGGCAGGTGGCAAGCTCACAATTGACACCAAACAAAAGCCTGGCGGCATTCGCGCCCGGGATGAGCACGCGCTGCTGGCCGCGCGGTGACTGTTTCCATCCAACACAGCTTGGGACTTGGCTTCACTTCCCTCCGCGCCCCCGCCCACGGCGCCAGTGCAGGGAGCTGCTGGGCTGCTTCACCCCCACCCCCACAGCCCTCCCTTACCTGTTCCTTCTCCGAGTAGGGGTTGTTGAGGACCACAGGCACATTGCCCTTCCCCCAGAGGTCGTTGAAGACGCGGTCGTTCTCCACGCCGAGGGGCAGTGGCTTGTGTGACTTGCCATCCAGCTCTCTGAAAGGCAAAGTGCAGCGGGTGAGGGGAGAGGTGGCATCGGAGTGACCGGCTGGCAGTCCTGGCACAGAACCCTGAGTGGGCTCAGAATCTTGCTGGCTCACTTACTCTACTCTCTACGGGACCACAGAGGCTTGGGCATCTACAGCCAGCCACGCATGGGCAAAAGGGAGTCCCTGGGGTCAGGCATGGCAGTGAGCTCATCGGAGTGGGCACGGGTGGCTGGCACACCCCCCTCCTGACGGATGAAGCTCCAGGGCATTCCTTACCTCTCCACCATCCTGCATCTCACAGATCTGGGGGCACTTGAAGTCCACCTCCTAGTGGAGCCCCAGGCTGTGTGAAACCCGGACAGCTGGAAGGGGAGCCCGGAACGGGTTAGCACACTCAACTGTTGACCAAGAGGGTGGAGGTTTGAGCCCACTGAGAGACACAGCAGAGGAAACACTTGGCTCCCGATTTCCAAAAAAACAAGTAACATCAACCATGGAAGGCCTGATGGAGCGCAGTTCTCATCGAACGCACATGGGATTGCTAGAAGTCAGCACCGCCTCGACAGTACTAGGCTTTTGTTTTGTTTTGTTTTAAGGTCCATGCATCCTAATGGTGCAAAGGTTAGGAGGAGGGAGAGATAATTAAGTCAGGGGAGGCATGGTCATCCCAGGCCTAAGGATTCGAACGATGCCAGCCACACAGGCATAGTTCTGGAAACAAGAGAACATAGTTTCCAAAGGAATAACAATCCCCCGGCTTTCACAAATGTGCACAGGCCCTAAAGCCCAGATTGTTCTGTGAAAATGGGCATGCTGTGAGCATGGAGGGGAACCTCACAGATGCCCCCCACATGGAGGATGACTACGTCATTACACATCTGCCAAGTCACATGATGATATCACTGTCCGACCACTGGGCTTCATGGCCCATCGACGCGGACACATGTCCTGAACCATCAGGCCCAGTGCTGCCCTTACCTCACCCCTTGACATTCTTTACGGTCAGACACGAGAATTAAAAAACAAACAAGATTTTCTACTATTGTCGTAATGCAAAATGTCAGACAGTTGATAAGTGAGGGTACAGTGGACTGTTGATAATGATCAATAAACCAGGTCCACTGCCATGGAGTCAATTTCAATCCCAATACAGTGGCCCTGTGTGGAGTTTCTGAGACTGTATGTGCAAATGGCCTCATTGGTCACCCGCTGAGTGGCTGGTGGGCTTGAACTGCTGACCCTGCAGTGGGGTAAGAGTTCAATGTCTATCCTAGAGTGTCCCCAGGGCTCAGCTAGAGTTTATTGAGCGCTTGTTATGAGCCAAACACATGATAAGTGCTTTACAAGTATTTAAATGAATTTAGACCTTAGGACAAGTCTATGAGGTAGGTTATTCTCATCACTGCTACCACCACCACCATCACCACCAGAAACAGAGCCCACGTTATTGTGATAACATTACTTTTTCTCCTCCTGACCACTATGACCATCATCATCATCATCGTCGCCACCACCTTCATAATCCCTTTCTTACCTTCACCATCATCGTTACCACCATCAAAATCATCTCCACCAACACCATCATAATCCTATTACTACCACCATCATCACCACCATGTTGACCAGCACGCATAAACCCTCTCCTCCTCTCCAGCATCACCAGGATCAGCATCCTCACCGGCACCGTTGGAGGAGGTCATGTTGCTTCGGAGAAGTGAAGCCACTTGCCTCAATCACACTGCTACGGACGGTGGCATGTCCATCCAACTGACTTCCTCACAGACGTTTTCCTGGGCCCCTGCCTTGGGACTCCGACAGACTCAAGGGGAAGCTGCTTCTCAGCAGGGCTCCTTAGCCGGGCCTCCTCTGAGATGCTGAGAGGGAGGAGCCCCTCATGGATGAGCTTTGTGTCAAAATCCAGAGTGCTCACCAGTCCTGCCTGAGGGGGCTTCCCTCTTATTTCCCGAGGGCCAGCTTTGCGTCTGACCCTCTCATCAGTTGTGCTGTGGCATCTTCTGTCCTCCAGCTCGGGCGGTGCAGCTGGCTCTGGGCCCCCCTCGGTTCTGGTTCCAGGGGTCCAGCTCACCCTTATCCGTCTGTCTGTTGATGTCCCCAGCTTCGAGGACTCCTGCTTCCCTACTCTGTCCATCATCTGCCCTCCCTCCAAGTCTGGCGTTGGGATGAATCAGGAAGCAGGGCCAAGTGCACGGCCCCCCAGCTGTTCACCCAGTCAGACCCCCCCCCCCCACACTCTGTTTCCCTTAATTCCTAGGCCAAAGTCAAAGCCATTTCTGCCCTCCTCCTGCCTGGAGAGGCCCGCAAATTGTCAGAGGGAACATTCCATTTCACCCTCTTTTAAAAATGCCATCAAAACACACCAGAGTGGCTCTTGACCACAGGCCTTTCCCGAGCCGGTGGCTCAGCAGCGTGGCAGTAAACAGAGGAGGTTCTGTGGAGAGGCTGCTCGAAATGCCACTTGCTCCCTTGCACCTCAAAACCTCCCAGTCCGATGACATCACGGGGCCTCGGGTGAGAAGTCAGCAGAGGAGGGGGAGGTGAATGGTGCGCGAGCATCCACGGGGAAGCCCCCTCTGGGGCTCCGAGCCCCGAGCACTTGGCCGTGGGTGGAAAGGACCCCACCAGCCGATCCCAGGGAGCAAGAGGTGGACGTCTGCTCCCACGAGGACAACAGCCGTGGAAATCCAACAGGACAATGTGGCCTTTGCAGGGAAAGCGTCTGCATTCGGTCAAGGACGCTTTTGCTTAAATCACGCATGTGCCGTGGCCATGAAGACAAACTGATGTTGGAGGTGGTGCGGTGAGCCGGGGAGAACAGTGCTTAACAGGGGGCAGAGGAGGACCAGTGGAGTTGGTCCGCCGAGGCAGATCAAAGTAACGTGAGTGAGACACCCCGCCCATGAGTTGGCTGAGATAATCAGGCTCCGTGAACACAGGCCCGACTTGTAGTATTGGATGGAACTGGGTTCAAGCTCAGGGCCTTGGTGGCATAGGGGTTATGTGTTGGGCTGCTGCCCCTCGGGTGAGCGGTTCCAAACCACCAGCCGCTCTGTGAAAGACAGATGAGGATTTCCACTGTGCACAGCGCAGGAAACCCACACAGCGCCTCCCCTGTCCTATCCGGTTGCTATGAGTTGCAATCAACTCGGCGGCTATGAGTTTGCCTTTTGAATTTGGGGATGTGACTCTCGGCTGCGCTAGTTATGAGCAGGCAACTGAGGACCCCACACCTCACCCTTCTCAGCCTCTGTGACCTCATCTGTAACAGGGGGGTACTATGACAGGCTCAAGTATGAGCCAGAACCCGGAGGGTGGAGCGGCTCGGTGGCGCCTAGCAACAATGACACGTAGTTTTGGGGCCCGCTGTGATGGTGACGTGAAGAAGCAGAGTGGGCACCACCTGACAGAGCAGGGAAATTCCACGCAGGGGACTTGGATTTGATTCCCTGTCAATGCCCCTCCGGCACCACCACCGCCCACTCGTGTGTCACTGGGGGGGCTGTGTGCTGCCGAGATGCTGAGCAGGTCTCAGCGGAGAGAGCGAACTGTTTCTGGATGGTTCTCTTGCCCTGTCCCCTCCCTCTAGCCCCTGGCCCTAGCTCCTCCAGCCCTCATGGTGTCCTGTAAAGCCTTTCTCTAGCTGGGTCAGCATATCCAAGCTGAGAGTCATTCTAGCCTCCAAACCTTCCTCCTTCCCCGTCCGCCCTCCTTCTCTCTACCTCCCTTGGTTCCACCAGGACCTGTTCTAGGCCCAGCTTGGATTTCAACTCGATGCTGGGACGTGAATCAAATGCAGGGTTTAAAGGTGAGCCCCTCCCTCAGCATGAAGGATGGGCCTTGCAGACAGACGGCAGGGCTCATTCAAAGGCACTCGCTAAGTCAAGTCCTTCCCTGGCAACACAGAAGGGCCAGAGATGGCCTCGGGCAACAGGCTTGTCTCCAAGGTCCTGTCAGGAGGGGAGGTGGCCAGGAGCACTGAGCTCCTGAGAGTGGGGGAGGGCATGTCACCCAAGAGGTCCTGCTGTCCTGACCGACTAACTCGGGGCTCCTGGGCATCTCGGTATTGGGGTGCTGCCTCTAGCAGATAGGACTTAAGTTTCCCTTGGGACTCTGAGGAAACATCCCCAAGTCCCCAGCAACTCGGTGACTGGGAGCCACGTGCCCTGGAGCCAGGAGAGCGACAGATCCGTCAGTTCAAGTCCCGGCTTGGTGTCTCGCTGGCCGTAGGATTGGGGACAAGTGGCAGTGCCCCTTGAAGCCTCAGTTTCCACATCAGGAAAAGGAAGCAAAGGAGATGGCCCATCCCAGGCTGGACGCCGGGCACTGCCCTGGTTTCAGCTATGCCGCATTCTCTCTCAGGCTCTCTCCGAACCTGGGGTTCTTGTTGGGGAGCCTTCGATGCTGAACCAGGACAGCCCTGTGGCCATAGGAGGCCCGGGACTTGCGGCTGCACCTCTCAGAGTCGTGGTGCCCTGCCCTGTAAAAGGGCACTAAACTAAGGTGACCAAATTTAAAGTGGGACACCATTGACCGGAGGGGTGTGTGTGTGTGATTGTTCTTGATTAAAAATTTGGTCAATATGGAGCAAATAGACCGTTCCCTAGCTTGTCGTGCATTCTTTCCAAAAATCGAGACTTTTTAAAAACACCAGAAAGCGGGACTGTCCCGCCAAAAGCGGACGTCTGGTCACCTTGCACTAAACCCACAGGCCCTGCTCTGGGGAAAGAATCCGTGTGAGCCGGGTGGGGTGGGGGAGAGGCGGGGAGGTGTGCAGGGGCGCTTGGTAAGCTCCCGAGAAGGCTGCAAGCAGGAGAGGCCGTCAGGAGGCTGAGCGTGGCTGGCTGGCTGGGACAGATGGACACTGGATCAGGCAGTGAGCCTGGCCTCTCTAGAAGCCTCCTTCGGGGCAGCAAGCTGAGCAACTTGGATCTGCTCTGATACATCTTAAAGTGACGGTTGCCGGGGCAGAAGGTTCCAGAAGCCCCCTCCTCAGCCCCTGAGGTGAAACCGGCTCTGAGGAAGCATCTCTCCGCCCACAGACAAATGGGACCAGGATGTCCCCCGAGGGAAAGGAACTGTGAGAAGCAAGCCAAGACGTCTGTCTCCAGGAGAAAGAGGGAAGGGAGAAAATGAGGGCATGGGAACTGGGGACCGTTCCCGAAGCCACAGATGCCGGTGTGACCTGGCGGTGGCAGGAAGCCACTCAGGCCGGCTGCCCCATGAGGGCATGAGGGACACGTGTGGGGGTGCCCTGAGCCAGAGTCCACTTAACAACTGGCTTCTTTATCTGTCTCCTCCTCGGTGGAGGCTGACTTATGGATGATGCCAGGTACCTTCAGTAGAACCTTGTGGGCGTGCTGGGTCGCCTGTTGGGCTACTCATGGCGAGGTCAAGGTCAGCCAATTGAACCCACAGGGCACTCGTTGGGAGCAAGAGGAAGCTGTTTGCTCCTGCAGTGATTGACAGCCTCGGAAATTCTACGAGGGCCATTTGACCCTGTCCTGGGGGGACGCTATGATTTGGGACCGACTCGATGGGAGGGCGCTTCTGGAAGCCCTCAACTAGAAATGGAGGCATCGCTCAAGAGTTCTCGCGAATGGCATGCGTCTCCCGTTGCACGGTGCTTAAGCGTGACAACGCTGGCTGGCTGCGTGTGTGAGCCTAAGACGGAACCCCCAAGCACACAGGGTGTCAGGTGCAAATGGAGACACAGGTTTGTGGTTCGGGCAGCTCCTGTGCCATCAGCAGCACCTCCTCTCTTAAAAACAGAAAACAAACCCACACTCACTGACACGAAGCCAATGCTGACTTCCTGGTGATGCCCCTGTGGGTTTCCTGTTGACAGGAGTAGAAAGCAGAGTCCTCCTCCCAGTGAGCGGCTAGTGGTTTGGAACTGCCGACCATGCTGACCGCAGCCCGAAGCGTAACCACACCACCACCTGGACTCTTCCTCTCTCAGTCCCCCTCCTGTGGTTCGCACTTGACTGTGAACTTAAAAGGTTTGGGGTTCGAACCCACCCAGGGGCACCGTAATGAAAGGCCTGAAGATTGCTCTCTGTAAAGCGCACACGCTAAGAAAACCCTACGGAGCCATTCTACTCAGTAGCACCCACAGGGGTCGCCGTGCATCAGAGAGGACGCAAAGGCAGGTGGTCTGGGCGTGAAGGGAATGAGGGAGGTTCATGGGCATGCAGGATCCTGAGAGGATGCAGCAAGGTCCAGACATGCCCGCCACCAAGGGCCTCCCTGCGGTGTCTGCTCCCTGAAAATGGGGTTTGAGTTTGTGTAGGTCTTGGGGGAGCCAGGCCTCTGGATCTCTGCTGGCTGGGAGCCCCCCAAGGGTGGGGCTGGGAGCCTCCCAAGGGTGGGCCCTGAGCCCTGCCTCTTGCCCCTCCGGCATCAGTAGGCCCCACGCCTGTGACTGGGGTCTACTCCTGGTGCGGGCAAGAGCTTCCCTGCCACAGGCATGTGCAGAGGAGAGGAGTGGGATGGGGGCAGCACTTTGACCAGCGAGGACCCCTTGCTTCCCTTCTGCCCAGGGGCTCCTGGACGAAGCTCCCATCTTGCTGACATTGGGAGGCTCAGAAAGGTCTGGGGCACAATGCTGGGTCAGGTGAGCTCCCAGGGCCTGGGGGACCTACTTAAGGGTGGAGGCGGGGATCCCGAGCAGTCCTTCCAACGTGCCGGGCACTCTCCGGCACACGTATCAGCCCTTTGCTTGGAATGCTCTTCCCCTGGAAAGCTTCCAAGTTCATGGGCCCCCCTCCCTCCCTGCAGGTCTGGCAGGGTCAGGTCCCAATGGGACCCTTGTCGCCTGCCGATTTCAAACTGTACCTTCCTCCACAGCTCTTCTGGACTCTGCTCAGCAACTCAGCATCTTGAGCAGCTTGTCTACAGTCTCCCCCACTGCACGGTCCCCCCAGCTTTCGCATGACTGGGGATATTGGTCTCTTCCATTTACCCCTCCATTCCTGGGGCCTGGGACAGTGCCTGCCACCTCTCCCCCCAAAACAAACAACTCATAGCAACCAGAAAGCCCTCGGTGAGCAACTGCTGACTCAGCGAATGGTGGTATGGGGATTTACTCTACTCCGGGCAGCGGTGATGGTCTTGGGTGCTTGGGAAAGGGTGTGGGCTATCTTGACCTATATTGCTGAGAGGCCCTGGACCTGAACCCTGAATTACCAGGGTCCTAGACCCACCCTGGTAGTGCTGGCTGCTGAAATGTCAAAAGGGACAGTGAAGGGGGGCAGAGAAAAATCAGCCAATGTCTGTCTGTCTGCCACCTGGCCTTGATGATGCTTCCCCCCAGAGAAGGCACGGGTCTCATCCACTTCTTAGAGAACGTCCATCCATCGGACAGACACAGGGCTGATGCCTGGCTCCTCCGGTTCTAGGTTCTACTCTCTGTCCTGGGTAGGGCCAACCCTGCACCCTGAGCCCACTTCCCACTCCCTTGTAGCTCCTTCCTTGTTTCCGCGCTGGCTGGTGGCTGTGATGAGAAGCTGGTTTCGGTGGAGGGCACCTGGGGCTCAGTCTCCCCACTTGTGCTTCCTAGGGCCTGAGCATAATCCACATGCCTGAGTCAGGCACTCACCACAACGGCCTGCCTTCCCCGGGACACACAAGGGCCAAGCTGTCTGGCCTGGAGACAGGCATCCTAGGAGCCCTGGCCCGCTGTCTGAAAGGTTAGTTCAGACCCACCAGTCACACTCTGCACAGGAGAAAGAGGAGGCAGCCTGCCTCCGTAAGAGCCTTGGAGGCCCTACTGGGCAGTTCGACTCGGCCTTGCTGGGCTGCCCAGGGCTGGGACTGCCTCAGTGACTGTGGGATGGGTTTGGTGCAGGGTGTCTGGAGGTGTGCGTGAGTTAAAGACGGGCAGATGCCATGTTCACAGCTGTGACCACGAGTCCTGGGCTTTACGGCCAGGAACACACACTCTGGTGGTTTTGAACTGCTGACCTTGAGGTTAGCAGCCCCACGTGTAACCCCCTACACAACCGGGGCTCCTTCACATCCAAGGGAAGGAAGCAGGTGTGGCTGGGGGCTAGGTGGATTCGAAGGGCAGATGCCTGAGGGAGCCATCCCATGTTGGCTCCAGGCCGTGGGCTGCACTTGAGCGTACACACACTCGCACACCAACACACGCACACGTTTGCACACAGGTGCGACCTTACCTTTCCACCTGGACCTCCGCATCCTTCGTCTCTGTCTTGGCTGGTCCCACCCTGTTGATCCCTTTGGCCCCGCTGGTGAGGAGGCTGAGCACGGGCTGGATCTCCTTGAGCAGGTCGCTGCTCTCCCCGCCTCCCTGGAGGCCCGCACTGGCACTGTTCTTGGCAGTGTCCACACTCAGAGGCCTGGAGGGCAGGCCATTGGCGTGCGCGCGTGAGCCGGGCTCCTGGCCTGCGGCGCTGTGGGCTCGCTGAGGCCCGTTCCCAGGGCCGGCGGCCCCATCGACTGCCAGTGGCTGCTCCTTGCTGGTTGGCGGCTGGTGGGACAAGTCGACGGCTTTGGTGGCGGGACCCAGGGGCTGTGTCACCCGGATGGTCTTGGGGGTCCCGTCCCCGGTGAAGGTGGTCTCCAGGTGTGTGGTGAAGCCCTCGGGACCCCTCAGGATGAGGACCACGTGGGTCTCGGAGGCAATGCCCCGAAGCACCTCCAGGGCGCCATCGTAGCTGAGGTCCACCAAGGGGCGCCCGTTGACCGCCAGGATGATGTCCCCCGCTTGGATGAGGCCACTCTGCTCGGCGGCGCCCCCTCGGATCAAGTCAGAGATGATCACGGGAGGCTTGGAGACCCGCTCCTTCACCAGGAAGCCCAGGCCTCCCACCTTGCGCTTGAAGAGGCGCACAGAGATGACGTTGGGTTGGATTTGCTGGACACTGAACGTCTGCTCCTCCATGGTGCCCGGCTGCTGGGGGTCCCGCCTGGAGCCTAGAAGCGAAGCAAGTCACGATGATGCCCCCAGGAGGTGCCAGGCTGCAGCCAGGACCGCACACAGGAGCCAGGCGGACAGCGGTGGCCGCGCCACGGGCACTGGGAGCCTCGTGACCACAGGGCTGGTCTGTGGGCTTCGGTGTCTCTCTGGCTCTGACGTCAACCTGGCGTCACCTGCTCACTGCTGTCTGGCCATCGGTGGCATGATTGCGCCCATCTGCCTCCCTCTTGTCTCTCTCAGGAAATGCTGGCTGAGCAGGTGGATGTCAGGAGACGCTGTGGGCGTGTCCCTAGACGAGAGGCCCCACAGAGCAGGAGCAGGGTCTGGTGGATGGGAGCGGGTGGGTGGGGGGGCAAGAGGTTCCTGGAGGTGACGCACAGTAGGAGTGGACTAGCCGCTGGGCATGGTGTCAGCCGGCTCACTTCAGACCCAGGGCTTCTTGAGCGGAAGAGAAGGAAAAAAAGAAGGAAAAAACAACAACAAGAGGTTGGTATAAGGAGCAGTCGATCCCACCTTCAACACCAGGAGTGACAATGCAGGCGATTTCGAAGACTAGCTACGAGATGCTCAGGGGCTTTCAACGCTAGCCTGAGACGTCGGCTCCTTTGCTCTCAGAGAGGGGATGCCTTTCTCTGACTTTTCTATCCACGATTGAGAGAAGCCCTGCAAGACCAGAGGGTCTCCCAAGTCCGGAGATCAAACACACGGACCACAAGACTGCCCTGATCTCTTTTCCACCCCAGGAACACTCCCTTCCAACTTGTTCCACAACCTTTGCGCTCGACATTTCACAAACATCCTCCCGTTCACAGACCAGGCGCTCAGCTGGCATGGACCTCCGGAATTTCTATTCCAGCTACCCCCAAAGTCCCAATAGCAGAACCCTCCACCCCCAGAGCAGGAATGAGGCCGCCCTTCACAGAACTGACCATCAGGAAAGACGACTGGCTCTCAACTGCCTTTTTTCCCCCGTGGTAATTGTTAATTTGCTCCTGCTTCAAAAGGAGAGACCTGGCCATGAGACAGATGAGAGATGGGCCCACAAAAGACCTGGAAGACACGTGCAGCCCACGGAGCATCTGAAGCCCTCCCAGGAACAATAGGACTGGACGCAGAACCTCTACGACCCCTTTGGGGGTCGAATAACGCTTTCACAGGGGTCGTCAGATGCATCACAGTAGCAAAATGACAATGCTGAAGCCGCAAGGAAAATAATGTTATGGTTGGCGGGAGGGGGTTGTCACCACCACATGAAGAACCGTATTGAAGGGTCGTGGGATTAGGAAGGTTGGGAACCACTGCTCTAGGGTCGTCGTGGTGGGGCCAAGGGGGTGCCATGACTATTGGATAAAGGTGAAAAATGGGCTGTCTTAGCTGGCTCCACATTAGCCCCTGACCGGTGGGGGTGCGGTGCATGCTGTCCCTCCCTGCGCCATGCCTCTGGTTGGTCTTGGGGTAGACGGTTGTGACTTAAAGGGGTCTCACTGGATGTTTTTTTAAAAAGCACCTCCAAAAAGCTACTAGCACTAAATGCACGACGCATTCATACACGCCCAAACCCACTGCATCCAGTCGATTCTAGCTTCCAGCGGCCCCGTGGGGCCTGGTGGAACTGTGTCCTGGAGCTTCCGAGGCTGTCAGTTTGGACGGGAGCAGACAGGCTCCTCTGTCTCCCAAGGACTGGCTGGGGGGTTCAAACTGCTGACCTTGCAGGTAAGTAGCCCTACGTGGTGTGACCAACCGGTGATGCAGCCAGGCATCCGAATGACATGCCGAGTCTAAACTTTTTACATGTCGCTTTCCCCTTTGATCCTCACAATCCCTCCTTTGACCAACGAGGGGGGAGACCCGAGCTTGGGAAGGCTGGGGTGTGGGGGGATAACGCATTCAATATCATGCGCCAAGTGAGGACGAGGGTGGATCTGAAGGCAGGCCGGCCCCACTTGGGTCTGAGCTTTGAAACCTCTGTTACAGTCATTTTCTAAGGTTCCAACTTAGACACCCCCAAATGTGACTGTCTAGCAGCTTGCAAGTGGCCACCTCCCCTAGACTTGGGGAGATGGGGCATGATGGGATGCCAGGGCTTGGCATGGCACCAGGTGGGAGAGTGGGCACCTATGGGCGTGAGCAGAGGGCTGGGGGTGTGAAACTATGTGGAGGTGCCTTACCTATCTGGGAGGGGCAGGTGATCTGTGGGTTGTAGGTGGGAGGGGTGGGGGAGACAGCAGAGCACCCCATCACCTCTTTCCCTGAACTCCCAGCTCCAGTTCAGCCAGGTCCCCAATCCCAGCATGCTCTACGGCCAGCAGCCTCATCACGCTTCAGCAGAGGGAGGCAGCCCCCATCTGCTACCACCAGCAAAGTGGTAGTCTCGCACCGCATTTCCCTTTCAGTGACTTCCCGGGTTCACCCCGGGGGCGGAGGCAGCTGACAGAAATCCTGCCACCTCGGCCAGCAGGAGGTGGGTGCAGAGATGCCCCTGATTAGAAGGTGCCTCCCCCTGGGTCCCCCCTGGGGGGGTGGGCTAGCAAGTTCAGCCGCCCCCTTTGCAGCTTGCATTATGTAAGCGCCCAGCCCTCTGTGTGGGTGCGGAAATCACGGAGCTCTGAGCCCAGGCCGGGCTCCCTTCCCCATCTGCTGGTGGCAGGCGGGCGGGTGGACGGGGTGTGTATGTTTCTCTCCGTGCATCCAGACATCGCCCTCGCACAGTACCATTTCTCCGCTGCCGGAGTGCGTGTGTGTGAGGCCCCTGTGCCTCTTGGCAGATCTCGGCTGTAGTTCTGGTTTGCAGGGGAGTCCCGAGAGCCCCCACTAGTCCATTCCGTCCACACTCCTCACCTCGCCCCAGACCCATTTCTGTTTCCAGACCGAGGGTGTCCAAGGCTTAGGCAGGGGCAGGGGCAGCCTGGGGCCCAGTTCTCTTTGGAGTCTGGGAATTGGGCTCGGTTCTTTCTCAGAAGCACATCTGCTCCCCATTTTCAACCAGGATCCAAATGATCACCCCGTGACACACTGGTTGGTTCTCTCCCCCTCCCCAAAGCCCAACCGAGCTGCTGCCCTATTGTGCAGCCCTGTCCCCCCCAACCAGGGGAGCGTGTCCCTCCACGCAGTGCAGCCTGCGGCCAGGGCAGCTGGTCCTCATTGACAGAGGGAGGTGTTCTAAGCCGCCCAAGGGATTATGAATATCCTGCACTAGGAACCTCCTGAGCCCAGACTTTACTTGTGTGCTCCCAGGCCAAGCTATTTCCTTATCTCCTCTACGTCAGTTTCCCATCTACTCCATGCAGAAGGGGTTACGTTTAGATTGACCACCTCTCTGGGTGACTGGGAAGATGAGAACGTAGTCTCTGTGCCCACAGCTGTGGTCCCATCTGGAAGCAGGGTGTTCTTTGCCTAGGAGGCCACAGTAGCACCGGTATGTGCGCACGATCACTCTGCCCAGAGTGTATGTTCAGGCCAAACAAAGGGCGTGGGGCCAGAGATGCCGCAGGCGGCTGGCCAAAGCAACGGGAGCACCGGGACATTGAAGCTAAGCTGCGAAGCCCTTCCCCGGAGCCAGCAGAGAGCACCTTCTCCCTGCTCGAACGTCCGGCCTCCTTGATGGTATTGCTGTCTCCGCTTCCTGTTTTGGGGACAGTGGTGGCAGGAGAAGAAGCCAGCTCCCTCTCCCTGCTACGTGCACCCCCAATGCTCCCATTGCCACAGGCTGACCGACCGCCATGGCGGCTTCTGGGTTACCCACCAACTCCTGCCTTTTCATCACAGCGCAGCCACAGGGACTGTGTGCACCAGCTTGAGGGAGTCCTTGCCCTTGAATGTGGACTCTCCTTCAGGCCAGGGGCCAGGGCCCGGGACTGCTCCCCCAGCCTGCTAACCTGGTTTGACCCTCTCGAGCCGAGACACTGCACACATGGCACACACACATAGTACACACACATGCCAGCATGCAAGCTGGAGAAGCAATACATCAGTGGCTTGGTAGTCTCAGGTGCCTTTGTTTCATTTACTTTGCACCGAGGGAGGGAGGAAGGGAGGGAGCGGCCGACCCGGCTGCCAGGGGAGTGAGTGAGCCCAAATAGGCCAGCATCTGCTCTGCCCTACTGTGTGACCTTGGACAACCTGCCCCACACCCAAGGAGCCTCTTCTGGGCACCTGGAGGAACACGGTAGCGGCTCTCGGTGGAGGGAGGTCTGCAGTCTTTGATGTCTGTCTTCTCTAATTTTCAGCCCAACTTTAGAAGTCAGCACTGAGTTAGTCACCTCCCCTGCACCAGGGACAGGTGACCAAGGTGCAGAGAGGCAGACTGAGGAGGGAGCCCCGGGTGTGAGCGCATGGATTCTCACCATTCTCTCTTACCAACCAACCGCCATCCAAACGGCGATTCTGCCAGGCTCGGCCCATTCCTGTCCCTCTCGGCACGCCTTCCACGTACTACCTATCCTCCCCCTCCTCACCTGGACCAACACCGGGCCTGACTGCCCCCATGTTACAGGTGTGGAAACTAAGCTGGAGGGGTGTGTGTGTGCATGAGGTTAGCTCTTGGCTGCTAAGGAAAAGCCTGGCAATGTACAAATGCGCTCGATACAATTGATGTATGGATTGTTATAAGAGCTGTAAGAGGTTCCCCCCCCCTAAAATGATGGATCAAAATCAAAATAAAAAATCATTAAATTAAAAAAAATGGTAAACAAATAAATAAATGCTGGCAGTTCCAATCCACCCAGTGGCACCACGGGAGAAACGCCTGGCCATCTGCTTCACTCTGACCACATGGGGCTGCAAGGAGTGGGGAGTCACTCAATGGCAACAGGCTTTCCGTGCGGTCAGAGGGTTCTGGCCCGCTGGCACCCTCCCATTCTGAGCATGAGATGTTCTAGATCATTAGGACAAAGAGATCTTGACCACGGGGATCAAATGCCCCCAATACACCGACAGCCAGGTCTGGGCAAGTGAGGGGTTTGCTCGAGGTGGACAGGCCATGGCTGAGAGGCCAGAGGAGCTCGGGCCCAGCTCCTGTAGCAGGTCTGGTCCTCACTGAGGTGCGTGGTCAATGCAAAGCACACACCAGACTTCAGATAGCTCAAGTAAAAGAATGGGCATGGTGTGCTTCAGCACCACCGTCTCTCCA